TGTATAAATATTGTATATATACAGTGCATCCAGAAAGTATTCACAGTGCTTAACTTTTGCCACATTTTGTTATGATTTATTCCCGGGTGCCTCATGTGGCGAGAATATGCAGACAGTTCCTAGAGGATGAAGGAATTTATACCATTGAATGTTCCCCAGGCTCTCCTGACCTAAATCCAATAGAGCACATCTGGTATATCATGTTTTGGTCCATTTGACACTGCCAGATTGCACCTCAGACTGTCCAGGAGCTCAGTGATGCCCTGGTCCAGATCTGGGAGGAAATACCCCAGGACACCATCCATCGTCTCATTAGGAGCATGCCCCGATGTGTGTGTGTGTGTGTATATATATATATATATATATATATATACAGGGGGACAAAAAAGTATTTAATCAGCCACCAATTGTGCAAGTTCTCTCACTTAAAAAGATGAGAGAGGCCTGTAATTGGCATCATAGGTAGACCTCAACTATGAGAGACAAAATGAGAAAAAAAATCCAGACAATCACATTGGCTGATTTGGAAAGAATTTATTTGCAAATTATGGTGGAAAATAAGTATTTGGTCAATATCAAAAGTTCATCTCAATACTTTGGTATATATCCTTTGTTGGCAATGACAGAGGTCAAACGTTTCCTGTAAGTCTTCAAAAGGTTGGCACACACTGTTGCTGGTATGTTGGCCCATTCCTCCATGCAGATCTCCTCTAGAGCAGTGATGTTTTGGGGCTGTCTCTGGGCAACACAGACTTTCAACTCCCTCCAAAGGTTTTCTATGGGGTTGAGATCTGGAGACTGGCTAGGCCACTCTAGGACCTTGAAATGCTCCTTACGAAGCCACTCCTTCGTTGCCCGGGCGGTATGTTTGGGATCATTGTCATGTTGGAATACAAAGGCACATTTCATCTTCAATGCCCTTGCTGATGGAAGGAGGTTTGCACTCAAAATCTCACGATACATGGCCCCATTCATTCTGTCCTGTACATGGATCAGTCGTCCTGGTCTCTTTGCGGAGAAACAGCCCCAAAGCATGATGTTGCCACCCCCATGCTTCGCAGTAGGTATGGTGCTCTTTGGATGCAACTCAGCATTCTCTCTCCTCCAAACACGACGAGTTGTGTTTCTACCAAACAGTTCTATTTTGGTTTTATCTGACCATATAACATTCTCCCAATCCTCTTCTGGATCATCCAAATGCTCTCTAGCAAACTTCAGACGGGCCCGGACATGTGCTGGCTTAAGCAGGGGGACACGTCTGGCACTGCAGGATCTGAGTCCCTGACGGCGTAGTGTGTTACTGATGGTAGCCTTTGTTACGTTGGTCCCAGCTCTCTGCAGGTCATTTACTAGGTCCCCCGTGTGGTCCTGGGATTTTTGCTCACCGTTCTTGTGATCATTTTGACCCCACGGGGTGAGATCTTGCGTGGAGCCCCAGATCGAGGGAGATTATCAGTGGTCTTGTATGTCTTCTATTTTCTATTTATTGCTCCCACAGTTGATTTGTTCACACCAAGCTGCTTGCCTATTGCAGATTTAGTCTTCCCAGCCTGGTGCAGGTCTACAATTTTGTTTCTGGTGTCCTTCGACAGCTCTTTGGTCTTCACCATAGTGGAGTTTGGAGTGTGACTGTTTGAGGTTGTGGACAGGTGTCTTTTATACTGATAACAAGTTCAAACAGGTGCCATTGATACAGGTAATGAGTGCAGGACAGAGGAGCCTCTTAAAGAAGAAGGTACAGGTCTGTGAGAGCCAGAAATCTTGCTTGTAGGTGACCAAATACTTATTTTCCACCATAATTTGCAAATAAATTATTTCCAAATCAGCCAATGTGATTGTCTGGATTTTGTTTCTCATTTTGTCTCTCATAGTTGAGGTCTACCTATGATGCCAATTACAGGCCTCTCTCATCTTTTTAAGTGGGAGAACTTGCACAATTGGTGGCTGACTAAATACTTTTTTGCCCCACTGTATATATATATATATATATATGTATACAATAGCTCATACTGTAGTCAAGTGTGATTAAAATCACTAAAATGTTCACTTGGCATATCTTGCCAGGACAACACTAACTTGCACATGCTTGCACTTAATATTATATTTTTTTTTATTCATGAGCACTTTAAAAAATGGGTTTGTGTCAGAATATCATTATAGTTTAAGAAAATCTACTAAGCAGTTTGTGGAGAAATAAACTTTCCTTTTGTTCTCCTACCCTCAATAGCCAGGTTGCATGATTATTCCTCCTTCACACATCCAAGTCTGAACTTGCTCATCCATCATAATCCTTTGAGAGCTTTTCCTGCCCTGTTATTTTACAACCTCTGTTGTCAAGCAGCATTATAATGTGGATGATTAAAGAAACAAATTATTTATGGGGTATTTAGTACTGGGGAGTAGGGGCCTAATTAGAAATCACATGGCCCCATAGTAAACTTTGAATGGTTCCCAACAGAAAAGAAAAACACCATTGTTCAACACCAAAATTCCAGTAATTGTGTGGTGCAGATTAAAGTGGACAAAAGTAATGTACAATCTATGGCACATAGTGTATGGGTCAAGATTGAGTAACAAAACGTCCCAGTGCACATATTGCAGATGTCAGGATTGTACAACACAGAGCCTAAGACACTGTGCAAGGGTCAGGAGTGTGCAACATACAGCCCAGCACATAGAGTGCAGGGATCAGGATTGTGTAATGTTCAGCCTAGCATACAGGGAGGGGGTGCATTTCATACAGCTCAGTGGACAGAGTTCAGCATCGCGTACAAGGAACTGTGTGGAGGCAACCATCTAGGTAGAGGCAATAAGAAGAGTGAGCAGCATAGTAGCAACATCACCAAATCTCGCTACAAATCTCCTGAAACTATCTACTAGAGATATTAGTGAGTTAAATTTCACACTACAGACAGTTTGTAAATATGGAGTACCAGGAGTAACTCATTATCTACGGTAGTCACCCAAGACTTGTGTTTAGGGGGATCAGGGGATTTCCAAAATTGCAAAATTAATGGACATAATTGGAATAGGGCACAAACTATTACTATCTTGGGAGATTCTTCCTGCACAACCTCCCTGAGGACACCCAAAAGACAGAATTTAGAATCCAGTGGAATATTTGCCTGAAACACCACATTCAAGGTGTGTCTAGTTATTTCTTTTAATATGGATGATGCTTGGGGCAACAGCAAAGTAAATGGATCAAATCCCCATGGTCTCTCCTATATCTATACCATTATGACTCCTCAATGTTGCCCATTTTGCAGGAGTGTCGGGGAGTATAATGGGATCTCAAAAGAATGTACAGAAAGTTTCTGGGACACAATAAGTGAACAGGTTACCATGGCTTGGAACATCTCACACTGGTTACCTGTTAATGGGCCTATATCCTTCTCCAACTTAGCTGGTGCCTTTATCAGGTGTAAAAAAGTATACTGTAACATTGATAGATGAAGCCTTTGAAGCCATCAGCGGATTGAATCAGATTGAAAACAGTCATGGGAGACAAAGACCACCCAGTCAGTCAGTCACTTTAATAGAGTGTTTCAATTGAATATAATAGAAATACATATGGGAAGGTAGAGATTAAGTAGCCTGTAGGAAAAAGATAAGATACAATACACCATCCTTAAATATTTGCAACATAAACTGTATCCCATAGAACTTCCAGCAAGCACCTTGTTGTAATTTTGCCAACTCCGTATAGTTACCCTTATGCCATATTAGACTATATTTTTATATACCCTGTTACTCATTGAAAGTACTTATTTTTTTCTGAAGAAGGCTATATGTGGAAAAGTGCCTATTTGGTTTAACAAATACTAGGGCCTTGAGATCCTTCGAGACAGAGTGTGAGAAAGTAAAATATAGATCATAGATGGAATTTGATCTATTAGGGAGTGTGAAGTGACAGACATAGAACTAATCAGGTGCTGTAATTGAGGCGCTACATAATAGAGCCAAGAGTTATGGAGAGCCAAACCCCCCTTGTCATTAGGATGTTGCAATTGCTCTAACTTGATTCTAGGTGGGCGATTGCCCCAAAGCAAAGAGCAGAAAATGGGATTCACTACTTTAAAGGTTTTTTAGAGGGATCACAGAAGGTTAATTAAGGAGTAGGTAGACAAGCTGCGGCATTAGTATAATGTTATTAAGATTTGCCTAACCTGTTACTTACAGCATTAGTTTATTCCAAATTTTGGTTTTAATCCGAAATCTAGCCAGCATAGGGGAGATATTCATTAGCCCATAATCTAGGGGAGAGAAAGTGACATGGATTCCCAGATATTTAAATTTGGGCATGACAGGTGTAGGACAGGAGGAAGTAATCAGTTGTGTGGCGTCACCATCCAGTAGGAGCAGTGCAGATATTGTCCAGTTAATTGTTAACCCCGAGTATTGGCTAACATTAGATATAGTGGACATAACCATCTGCAATAAGAAGGTTGTATCTCCCAACAGCAAGGTATTGAACAATTTTAATTTCTGTTAACCCCTTGGTGCCGGCGCCTCCTAGCCCTTTAAGGATTTCAGAAGCCTGGAAGCGGGGTTGGGTTTTAGGGTCATGTGACTGCGGTGATTCACTGTCACGGCGGTCACATGATCGGGAAAGGTCCTGATTGAAAGAGGAGATCGGAACCTTTCTGTAGTACAATACACATGTGCTGGGGGTGTGCAGGGTGCGCTCTCTCAGCACATATGTTTCTCTTAATTGCACACAAATGTTCGGCCACTCGGCGTCAAGGCCCAGACGCCGGGAGGCAGCACATTTGCGTGCGGCCGGCACAAAGAGGTTAAATTATATTAAAAAAGAAAAAAACATACAAACATTTTCAAAGCATTGCCCACTAATTGCAAGGCTTTATCACCTTCAGATTTATCTCTACTCTACTATCATATTTAACTGTTTCTGAAGGTAAAAGTGAACTTAGCTGAAACACAATTTATATGAGCGATGCATCTATACACATTTCTATTTGCGGTGTTATTCACATGCGCATATCCAGGGGTGGACTAACAACTCATGGGGCCCCCGAGCAATAGGGGATCATGGGACCCCCCTGTGTCCTTGCCCAAACTCAAAAAAGCTTATGAAAAAGGTACCAGGGACATCTCATGGGGCCCCCTACTGACCCCGGGCCCTCGGGCAGTGCCCGAGTTTCCAAATGGTCAGTCCGCCCCTGCGTATATCTGTGCGCTAGTCACTTATAGGAATTCCCTTACAGTCACTAGTGTGTCTCTGCAGAACTATAACTTCTTATTTTCTTCTTTTACTTAGTGAGTGCTCTTTTTTGTTCCCATTTCCTTCTCGGCCTTAAAGATTTTGAAGCCTAACTTTCCCTATCAGTATGTTCTCTTGCTTTTGATATAGCCATGGCCTGTGTGAAGAGTAATGAAAGTTTGGCTGTACACCTATACAAACATAAGTTATATACATTACTATGTAGCTTTCTAATTATAAGAAGATACTCTGGTATGTATTTTTTATTGTACATGTAAAGTAATACATTTTAGAAGAGACCTCAAGTCTTGTATCAGCAATTCTGCGCATAGTATGTGTAAGAGTGGGAAAAGCAGTTCACAATTTACTAGACGTGATCTAGGATCAAACATACATTTTCAAAGCAGTTTCAAATGATTTTTAAAACTACTGTTTAAAGAGTTTCCTTGAACCATAGCACCATCTAGTGTAACATAGAATGTTAGCATAAGATATTGTTATAGCAAGAAAAAATATTTAAAGAATATGTAAACCCAGAATGTCATATTCCTGATATGTGCCTGCTTTACCATGTGCCTATATGAAAAAGTATCCTGTTCTCTTTGTATTGCTGCTTTTATGTGGATTTCCTGGTGTGCTTCCCAGTCCCTATGCTTTGCTATTAAAAACTGACCACACTAGGCATGAGAGCACAACATGGTCAGATTTCTGGCTGTCCGGGAACTCAGTCCGCTCTCCTCCAGTGATCAGACTTCTGCACAGCCATTCACTGGGAAGATCAATGTGCTGCTGGTTCTCCTCTCCCTGCTAAGCTGAGAACAGAGGGTATGTGATCACTTCTAAAAAAGGGTAAACAGGTATTTATGGTGTTATTTTCTATGTATACACAATGTTTTACCTTTCATTTCCATTTTAAACTGAGTGTTTTTTATTTTCAAGATGAGGATTCACATATACTTTAAATTTCTCTAAGGCTATATATAAGTAGGAAAATCAAACCAAATATTATCTAAGGTTAGTTAGGGCATCCAGAACATTTCCAGAAATTTTCAAAATATTAACTGTTTACAGTTCTCAAGTTTTGAAGCTAGAAGGGCTACTGTATATGTATGCATATGCTGACTTCCTAAAATGCTCAGAATTATTTTGTGCTTGTAATTTATAGTTATAAGCGTAAAAGGTTTTTTTTCTACGTTTATGCATTCTCTGCATTAACCACTTGCCTACCAGGCACTTATACCCCCTTCCTTACCAGGCCAATTTTCAGCTTTCAGCGCTGCCGCACTTTGATTGACAATTGCGCGGTCATGCAACATTGTACCCATATGAAATTTTGATCATTTTTTTTCTCACAAATAGAGCTTTCTTTTGGTGGTATTTAATCGCCACTGGGCGCTTTACTTTTTGCGCTATAAATAAAAAAAAAAGTGCAAAAAATTTGAAAAAAAAAAAAAAGTTTATTTGTTTCTTTTATAAAATTTTTCAAACAGGTATTTTTTTCTCCTTCACTGATTTGCGTTGATGAGGCGGCACTGATGGGCACTGATAGGCGGCACTGATGGGCACTGATAGGCAGCACTAAAAGGGCACTGATAGGCAGTACTAATGAGGTGGCACGGATAGGCGGCACTGATAGACAGCACTAATTAGGGGTCACGGATAGGCGGCACTGATATGCAGCACTGATAGGCGGCACTGATAGGTGACACTGATGATGGGTACTGATAGACGGCACTGACTGGCATCACTTCTGGGCACTGACTGGCGGCACTGACTGGCACAACCCCTGGGCACTGACTGGTGGCACTGACTGGCAGCACTGGTGGGTGGCACTGGTGGGTGGCACTGGTGGACAGCACTGGTGGGTGGGCACAGGTGGGTGGCACTGGTGGGCACAGGTGGGTGGCGCTGGTGGGCACAGGTGGGGTGGGCACAGGTGGGTGGCACTGCTGGGCACATGTAGGTGGCACTGCTGGGCACAGGTGGTAGGTGGCACTGCAGAGTGGCACAGTAGGTGGCAACTGACTGGTGCACAGGTGGGGGCACTGCTGGGCACAGGTGGGGGCACTGCTGGGCAAGGTGGGGGGCTGGGAATGGGTGGGCGGGGCTAGTGGGCGCACAGCTGATCGGAACTTGCGGGGGTCACTGCTGGGCACCGATCATCAGGGCACTGATCATCAGTTGCCCTGATGATCGGTGCCCGATCCCCGCTCTGACAACTGCCGGTTCTCGCAGTACTTTTTCTTCACGATCTGACAGCGTGAGGAAAGTGCAGCCGAGAACCGGCACTTGCATTTTCCTGTGATCAGCGTGTCATTGGACAATCACGTGGTAAAAGGCCGGTGGGATCGGCCTTTCACCACATCTCGTGATCAGCTGTGTCCGTAGGACACAGCGATCACGGAGATCGCCGGGTGCGCGCCCCCTGGGCGCGCAGAGCGCGTTCTGGGAGGACGTCATATGACGTCCACTCAGAACTGGCCGGCCGCGGTGAAGCCGTCATTCGGCTATGCGCGGTCGGCAAGTGGTTAAGGTAAAAAACCTTTCAGTATCTGTTTCTCCCCACCCCATCCCTAAACACTGATATGCCACCTCAGCACATGGCACTGAGAGAAAAGGAGGAATGGAAGCTGCCACCAGGGGACCACCAAAGAAAAGGTAAGGGACCACTCAGTGCAATACTATTGCAAAAAGTGGGTACTGTAAGTTTATTATTTTAATGAATAAAATAAGGTTTACAACCATGTTAAGGCCATTGGAATTCATCTATATATGTACATACAGTATATTCTATTAACTTAGCAGTTTAATAATCTAAAATTATGTCTTCTGGCTGACAGACAGGAATCATGTGCACAGTGTACACTTTCCCATCATGCAAAGGTGAAACTAATCAATACCTTCACAGAAATATAAAGAATACTGCCTAAATGTTGACTAACCTCTACCTATGAAAGTGGTTTCCCATCCACTTGGTGGCGGCCGCACGTATATATGCGGCCACTTGGCGGGTTGGCTTTAATGCCGAGAGGCCACATATATGGGCAGCACATATGGGCAGTACAGTGGCTAAATGGTTAGCAATTCTACCTGGCAATACTATTATTATTATTATTATACAGAATTTATAAAGCGCCAATGGTTCGCTCAGCGCTGTACATTACAAAGGGGGACAGAACATGTGACAGAACATTACCAATACAATGCAAAACATGAGGGGATCGAGGGCCCTGCTCTTTCGAGCTTACAATCCAGGAGGGAGGGGATGGTGGCACAGGAGGAGATAGCTGTGGGGGATGGAGTGGTAGGAAGAGTGGAGGAGGTCGTCAAGTTAGCACTACTAGGGTATTTGTTTTGAATCCCAACCACGGCACCACCTGCCTGGAGTTTGCATGTTCTCCCTGTGCCTGTGTGGATTCCCTCCGGGTACTCTGTTTTCCTCCCACACACTCCAAAGACATGCTGGTCGGTTAATTGGCTCTTGTCTAAATTGGCCCTAGTATGTGTATGTATGAATGTAAGTTAGGGACCTTAGATTGTGCGCCCCATGAGGGTTAGGGACTGATGAAAATGTACAATATATCTGTAAAAGCACTGTGTAAATTGACAGCGCTATGTAGGTACCTGTAATAAATAAATAAATATGCTGCCCTGTTAAAAAACTACTTACCATGCTTACCAAAGTAGCCAGAAGTGATACTTGCGATCGGGAGCTTTCCTATCTTGTGACCCCTGTGACAGCCAATCACAGTGGTCACATGACCCGAAGGCCCGTCTTCCAGCTTTTAGAACCCTTAGGCAGTTAGCGCTAAAGGGTTAAGTGGCAAAATGAGTCTTGCCTATAATAGCCAGCATAGATAAATACAGAGTGGCATGTGTGGCTAAGGTAAGTATTAAGTGCTTTAAACTAATACTTTAGCAAAACTGAGCATTAATAAGCATTTATAAGGTTCAGAATTAGGAATTGCAGGAACTTTTTTGTGGAATTTAGTCAAGACCACTTAGTTTACGGTGAACAGAAAGATGTTTATTAAAACATACTCATGTATGGGACAGTGCAGAAAGTACATAAATAATAGATCAAAATACATTATAAAAATAGGAAGAACAAGTTTATAAAGTATCCACACTATGCATAATTATTAGGTCAGGTGCAAGATAAACAAGATAACCTCTGACATGACCAACATAAGACATATTCTCAGATGTAAATGGCAATAAAACTGTTACATATTAAGCTGTAAATTACCACAAGAAGTAATGGAAAGTTCATGACACAAAAGTGAACCATTGCTTAACCCAGACCTATTTTATATGTCTTTATTTGATTTTCAGGTTCAGTTCCCATTTGTTTACATGAGTAAACAGCTAATGTTCATTCATACAATCATGCCTTTCCTGAGTTTGCCATCTGTGGGCTGCAGTTACCTTAAATGTTTTCATGGTCCCACATTGACAATGGATCTGATTCTGGCAACTGTCTTCCATGGGAAGATATACCTGCTTACCTACCCATAGTCCTGCTAAAGCAGTTAGAGCAATTGCCAGAGAGGAAATCCATCCACAATATAAACAAGAATGCACTTTTCAAGCAGTGCATTATTTCTACTCAACAGGAAAGATTTTTCCAATATGTACCAGTGAAAAAACATTTTTCCTAATCCTACATTAAGGTAATCCTCTAAGACAAATTTTTCCAGGAATGTGAAGTGTTCTTATTACACTTAGGGGTTTATTTACTAAAGCTGGAAAAATTAGGCTCATTTCTACATAGAAACCAATCAGCTTCTAGCTTCAGTTTGTTGAGTTAGGCTTTTGCAACAAAACCTGGAAACTGATTGGCTTCTATGCAGAGCCTGAATATGTTAGCATTACATTCATTCAATTTGAATGATTTGTTTTCGTAATTTGTTTTGTTTAGTTTTGTTTATTTGTTTTTGAATGAATTTTAATTTTCTGAAGTATTCAAATTTTATTTGAATCTAAAATATCAAATCGACTCGAATTTGAATCAAATACATATATGACATTTGGTTAGGTACTACTTGTTCATATACTGTTTACATTTTTGTGATTTTATCAGATAAAAAAAGGTTTTCACAACATGAAAATAAAGGAAAAAAGAGCAGCACCTTCTAAGTGCAGCAATGAAAAAACTTTAATAAAAAGTATAATACAGGCAACTTTCAAAAGGCATTGTGAAAGAGACGGCCTGAAGAGGGAGTACACATGCTCCGAATGCACACCACCCCCTGCTACCCATGTGATTGGATGTGATGTCAGTGCCTCCTCCAGTGCCTCTTCCTAGTGTCACGGAGATCGCAGGAAGTGCTGGGAGCCACCGGCATCACCACCTGACACCAGACTTGTACCTTGGCACAGCGACCTACATACCATCACACAGCAGATGCCTACTACATGATAAGCGCTTTTTCACAATGCTTTTTTGTGAGTTGCATGTATTATACGTTATATAAGTTTTTTAATTGCTGTACTTAGAAGGTGCCGCTCTTTTTTCCTTTGATCTCCTCACAGGGTCCCTTCTAGCTCTTTACCGACTGGCAGCCTTCAAGTAACGCTACTTTTAAGGACTATAAGAGATCTATAAGGATGCTGTTTGGTTTATACAAGAACTTATACATTTTCATACTGTTCTTTGCTTATGTCCATCCTGCAGAGACCACTTCAGCCCTTTCTGAGTGTGTTGACTACTTGTTTTACATATTTTAACAACATGAAAGCCTTGATTATGGGCCCCACAGAATATGTTACATGAAATTATAGGTAAGGTATCATCATGATTACTTATGCAAATTGTAGAACTACAAGAGTATCAAAGTGTGCTGGACCCCAAACACCTTTTATGCTTACTCCACCCAAACTACAGCAATGGCTAAACTTTCCTACTCCTAACAAGTCAGAAGAAAAAAGAAAATCCCATTGTGTCTGACTCAACAGATCCTCCTCCCATGCCCTTCTCCAGGACTTCTCCTGGGCTTCTCCCATCCTCTGGAACTCACTACCCCAATCCATCAGACTGTCACCTACTCTCCTCACCTTTAGGCGCACCCTGAAAACCCATCTCTTCAGGGAAGCCTACCCCGCCCTCACCTAACTGCTGATCTCCTCCACTCTTCCTACCACTCCATCCCCCACAGCTATTTCCTCCTGTACCACTATCCCCTCCCTCCTAGATTGTAAGCTCCAAGGAGCAGGGCCCTTGAACCCCTTGTGTATTGCATTGTATTATTTTTGTACTGTCTCATGTATTGTCTCCCATTGTAATGTACAGCGCTGAGCAAACTGTTGGCGCTATATAAATACTGTATAATAATAATAATAACAATATTCATGAAATACCATTTAATTCTTCCATAGGAAATTATGGCGGCAACTTTATGTGATGTATAAAAATGTAATTACTAGTCTTTTACTAACATGAAACTCATGTGATCAACGACACTATCTTTTTGTATACCTTAAGGCAGACATGCATATGATTATGTTGAGTATAGTCATTAAAATTATGTTATGCCTTCACTGGGGGGATCGTTGGAATTGGGTACAACCAGCACTTTTGATTATTTGTCAACGACTATAGTCGCTAGCAATAATCACTGGGTGTTTTCCCAGCAAGGACAGCTCCCCATGCCCTCCCCTCCTGCTGGAAGAACACATTGGGGTTGATTTACTAAAGGTAAATATACTGTGCACTGCAAGTGCAGTTGCTTTAGATCCGAGCGGAAGCTCTGAAATGAAGCAAAGCTCTGCTGATTTCTGTCATCCAATTATGTGCAAGACAAAATGTTGTTGTTTTATTTTTCTTGCATGTTCCCCTTAGATCTAGAGCAATTGCACTTTTAGCACACTTGCAGAGCACTTCCAAGTGTACTTGAAGTGGACTTGCAGCGCACAGTCTATTTCCCTTTAGGAAACCCCATAGTGTGTTTGCAGCTTTTTCCAGTTAAATATATTTTTTATTCACTTAAGCACAGTTCAAATATTTTGATAGCACAAATTGTGGTTTTAATATTTAATGTAGATATATACCAGGGAAAAACAAACCAGTCAGCATAACATCAATAATATGCAAGGCGTTTAAGGGAATACTAAGGGAATCCACTTTAGGATTTGCTGTGCAAATGGTATTATTAGCAACAATTAACATTGCTTTATGAAAGGTCTCTCTTGATAGACTAACCTATTAACATTCTACGAAGAAGTGAACAATAATTTACATATAGGAAAGGCAGTAGATGTAATTTATTGCAATTTTGCAAAAGCACTTGACGCAGTAACCAACAAATGCCCTCATTTATAAACTAAAGTTTATTGGAGTGAAGGAAATAGTATGTATGTGGATAGGGGGCTGGCTTCAGGAATAGGTACAGAGGATAGTAATAAATGATTTTGTTTCTGAATGGACTATGGTAGAGAATGGTCTGCCCCAGGGTTCTGTCTCGGTGCCAGTTTTGTTTAACTTATTCATAATGTCAGGATGTCTGAACAATTAATCAAGTCAGCGATATCGATTGATTAATTGATTGATATATGACTATGCCTCAAATCTAAAATAAATTATTAAATATAAAAAAATAAATGTTACTGACCAAATAATTAACACCTGAATTTGTGCTCTTTGCTGAAATTCTTAAGCACAATAGAACGGTGAAAGTATGGACTATGGAAAACAGAAAAATAAAACAATTAAGATTTTTTTTTTTAAACTAAGTCTCTAACAATCACATATAGCAGTAGAATTAATTATATGACATAGACACATACAATTTATATTCCAGAATTATAACTGAGACTATACTGCTAAAATCATAGATATGTCTTGGACCCAGAGTAAGTTGAATAATTTAATCTCCACTCATAGGTATCATAAACTGTGTATCACCAGTCTAAGTAATGTAGACTAAGTGACTAAGTCTGCATTTATCAGACAACCCCACTGCAGCAAAATAAAGGGGCTGAGTCTATCTACAAGCTGTGTTAATGCAGATTAGATTTAATTATTGAATCCCTAGGGGTTATGATATTGTGAGTAGAATATCACATCAAACAAGCAAAAAGCTATGCAAGGCAATATATCTAGGTGAGTTGTATTCAGGACTAAAATGGAATATTAATGAGCAAATTATACAATGCCCAAGAAGTTATTGGTGGTGAGTTAAGAGCCACACCCTGGTGGGACTTTCAAGGAGGTTGATTGGGTGTTTCAGTCCAAGAGAGTGAGCTGTGCAAGAATGTACTACTGACAATGATGAGGATTATGATTCAAGAAGGAGCTGGAGATCAAGATGAATCAAAATGGATGATGCTCCCTTCTCATTCTGAATTTTTTTTTTTCCAAAATCCTAGGGATCAGCCCAGAGGATGTTGTCTGGAATATTTACTCACCTCCGATTGTAGAGTAATATTACCGATTAAATAAAATATTTGCTCAGCCAATGGATTAACTTGTCCACTAGATGGAACTCTAAGATTAGAAACTTTATATTAGTTTTCTGGGATTAAAAGTAGATTTATTTTATTTAGTCTATAGAGGATAATCTAATTGTATCCTTATATTAATTTAAATGTGTCAGTTTACTTAGAGGGTCTAACTATATTCCGCCAGGGTGTTTGTGGCATTTTTTATAATTTTAACCTGTGTTATATTAGCATTTTAAACATGAAACCATGGCTAAAGAGGTGTAAATTTTTATCCAATGATCCATGTTAACCATTTTATCTGCGCCCTATTTCAGGATTTTCTGCTACAGGGCAGATTCCCTGTGCAAAATCAAGTATATATACGTGATCCACACTCCTGCCATGATCGTGGGCCAGGGTGCATGCGCCTGCTGACCCGGCTGTACTGTGATTTGGTGCTGCATCAATCAATCAGCAGATTTAGGCCAGTGATATTCAGCCTGGATCTGCTGATTGATCACTGCTCTATCAGAGATCTTCCTGTACCTGTGTATACAGAACACAGGTACAGGACCTGATGCAATCTTCTCTTCCTGGGACAAATTCTGTCCCAGGAAGAGAGAAGAAAGAAAATCTATGTGAGTAAAAGCAGCACACTTTTACTGTAAAAGCACAGTTAGGTCACATTTAACCCCCTGAACGCCCTCCAGTTAACTCCTTCACTGCCCTGTCACCAGTGTCATTAGCGCAGTGTACAGATTTTTTTACTGATCACTACATTAGTATCACAGGCAACTTCAGCTAGTGTTAGCATCAGTCAGTGTCCCTCCCAGATAGTAACAGCTAGAGATGAGCGAATTATTCAAAAATTCGATTCGACTGATTCGGCGAATTCGTGAAAAAATTTCGATTCGAGTCGAATATATTTGCTGCGAATTTAACTTATAAAAGGGTGTTTCTAGGCTTCAGAGAGCCTTTATATTAGTGCAGAACACTGTACCTTTAATTTAAATGCCCTTTGGGAGTCTGCTGGGGCAGAGAAATAATACTATCAGTCAGTATGACATGCAGATGAGTGCCGTCGATCTTAGAATCACCGCACACTTCACTCATTTGGGCAGTCACGGGGCCAAAACCAGAGTGTGGAGCCACAGTGTGGCGGTGGAGGCAGCAGCAATGGGAGGCCATACAGCACCCTATGACAAAATGGAACCCACCAGCAGTGTGAGGAGACCTGAAAGTGGCACATGGCAGAGTGTGGCGATGGAGACAGCAGCAATGGGAGGCCGTACAGGGACCCATGAGACACTCTGGACCTGGCAGCAGCATGAGGAGGCGGTACGGGGGCCCATGGCAGATTACGGGCCTGGCAGCAGCAATGGGAGGCCGTACAGGGCCCATGACACACTCTGGACCTGGCAGCAGCATGAGGAGGCTGTACAGGGGCCCATGACAGATTACGGGCCTGGCAGCAGCAGCATGAGGAGTCGGTACGGGGGCCCATGACACTCTCTGGACCTGGCAGCAGCATGAGGCGGTACAGGGGCGCATGACAGATTACGAGCCTGGCAGCAGCAGCAATGGACAGGAGGTAACGTTCAGCTCTGCACCGTCGGGTGCGTGCTGCAAACTGTTGTCTCTTGGAAACGGATTCCAAGAAAGACTGCTGACGGAATCCGTGAAGAGGAGTAGCAGGAGAAGGAGCATCTGAACGAGCGGAATATGCCAACAAGCGACAACAGGGGCCCATGACAGATTACGGGCCTGGCAGCAGCATGAGGAGTCGGTACGGGGGCCCATGGCAGATTACGGGCCTGGCAGCAGCAATGGGAGGCCGTAATCTGCCAGCACCCTATGACAAAATGGAACCCACCAGCAGTGTGAGGAGACCTGAAAGTGGCACATGGCAGAGTGTGGCGCGATGGAGACAGCAGCAATGGGAGGCCGTACAGGGACCCATGAGACACTGTGGACCTGGCAGCAGCATGAGGAGGCGGTACAGGGGCCCATGGCAGATTAAGGCCTGGCAGCAGCAATGGGAGGCCCGTAATCTGCCAGCACCCTATGACAAAATGGAACCCTGGGCAGCAGTGGGCAGGCAGAACCCCGAATCAGTGGCCCATGGCAGAATGGCGACGGAGATATGCTGACGCAACGCTGTAGTCCCAACATGGGCCCCCTGGCCACGCTTGACTTTCTGGCCACATAGTCGACATGGCTACCTGGCAGCACTTCATGGGCGGCGGTACGAAAAATTGCCACACCCATGGCAGGAAACTTTGCCCCCGCAGCAGCACTGGGAGGCCCTGCTAATCTTCCAGCACCCTGTGACACACCGGCACCACACCAGCAGTGTGGTGGTAGGCTGCAGTGGAGCTGGTGCTCTACTCCGATGGACAGCAGTTTGCCTCCACTGACACTGCTGCGAGACTGCTGCCTCCTGGCAGCAGCAATGGGGAGGAGGAGGCGGTACAGGGGCCCATGGCAGATTAGGGGCCTGGCAGCAGCAATGGGAGGCCCGTAATCTGCCAGCACCCTATGACAAAAAATGGAACACACCAGCAGTGTGAGGAGACCTGAAAGTGGCACATGGCAGAGTGTGGCGATGGAGACAGCAGCAATGGGAGGCCGTACAGGGACCCATGAGAGACTCTGGACCTGGCAGCAGCATGAGGAGGCGGTACGGGGGCCCATGGCAGATTAGGGGCCTGGCAGCAGCAATGGGAGGCCCGTAATCTGCCAGCACCCTATGACAAAAAATGGAACACACCAGCAGTGTGAGGAGACCTGAAAGTGGCACATGGCAGAGTGTGGCGATGGAGACAGCAGCAATGGGAGGCCGTACAGGGACCCATGAGAGACTCTGGACCTGGCAGCAGCATGAGGAGGCGGTACAGGGGCCCATGGCAGATTAGGGGCCTGGCAGCAGCAATGGGAGGCCCGTAATCTGCCAGCACCCTATGACAAAAAATGGAACACACCAGCAGTGTGTGAGGAGACCTGAAAGTGGCACATGGCATGACACACTGTGGACCTGGCAGCAGCAGCATGAGGAGGCGGTACAGGGGCCCATGGCAGATTAGGGGCCTGGCAGCAGCTATGGGAGGCCCGTAATCTGCCAGCACCCTATGACAAAAAATGGAACACACCAGCAGTGTGTGAGGAGACCTGAAAGTGGCACATGGCAGAGTGTGGCGATGGAGACAGCAGCAATGGGAGGCCGTACAGGGACCCATGAGACACTGTGGACCTGGCAGCAGCATGAGGAGGCGGTACAGGGGGGGCCCATGGCAGATTAGGGGCCTGGCAGCAGCAATGGGAGGCCCGTAATCTGCCAGCCCTATGACAAAAAATGGAACACACCAGCAGTGTGAGGAGACCTGAAAGTGGCACATGGCAGAGTGTGGCGATGGAGACAGCAGCAATGGGAGGCCGTACAGGGACCCATGAGAGACTGGACCTGGCAGCAGCATGAGGAGGCGGTACAGGGGCCCATGGCAGATTAGGGGCCTGGCAGCAGCAATGGGAGGCCCGTAATCTGCCAGCACCCTATGACAAAAAATGGAACACACCAGCAGCAGTGTGGAGGAACCTGAAAGTGGCACATGGCAGAGTGTGGCGATGGAGACAGCAGCAATGGAGGCCGTGGCACATGGAGACACTCTGGACCTGGCAGCATGGGAGGCGGTACAGGGGCCCATGAGCAGATTACTGGGCCTGGCAGCAGCATGAGGAGGCCCGTAATCTGCCAGCACCCTATGACAAAAAATGGCAGCACACCAGCAGTGTGTGAGGAGACCTGAAAGTGGCACATGGCAGAGTGTGACAAAAAATGGACAGCAGCAGCATGGGAGGCCGTGAAAGTGGCACCCATGAGACACTGTGGACCTGGCAGCAGCATGAGGAGGCGGTACAGGGGCCCATGGCAGATTAGGGGCCTGGCAGCAGCAATGGGAGGCCCGTAATCTGCCAGCACCCTATGACAAAAAATGGAACACACCAGCAGTGTGTGAGGAGACCTGAAAGTGGCACATGGCAGAGTGTGGCGATGGAGACAGCAGCAATGGGAGGCCGTACAGGGACCCATGAGAGACACTGTGGACCTGGCAGCAGCATGAGAGAGGCAGGGAGGCGGTACAGGGGCCCATGGCAGATTAGGGGCCTGGCAGCAGCAATGGGAGGCCCGTAATCTGCCAGCACCCTATGACAAAAAATGGAACACACCAGCAGTGTGAGGAGACCTGAAAGTGGCACATGGCAGAGTGTGGCATGGAGACAGCAGCAATGGGAGGCCGTACAGGGACCAGCAGACTCTGGACCTGGCAGCAGCATGAGGGCGGTACAGGGGCCCATGGCAGATTAGGGGCCTGGCAGCAGCAATGGGAGGCCCGTAATCTGCCAGCACCCTATGACAAAAAATGGAACACACCAGCAGCAGTGTGAGGAGACCTGAAAGTGGCACATGGCAGAGTGTGGCGATGGAGACAGCAGCAATGGGAGGCCGTACAGGGACCCATGAGAGACTCTGGACCTGGCAGCAGCATGAGGAGGAGGGTACAGGGGCCCATGGCAGATTAGGGGCCTGGCAGCAGCTATGGGAGGCCCGTAATCTGCCAGCACCCTATGACAAAAAATGGAACACACCAGCAGTGTGAGGAGGCCTGAAAAAGTGGCACATGGCAGAGTGTGGCGATGGAGACAGCAGCAATGGGAGGCCGTACAGGGACCCATGAGAGACTGGACCCAGCATGGACCTGGCAGCAGCATGAGGAGGCGGTACAGGGGCCCATGGCAGATTAGGGGGGCCTGGCAGCAGCAATGGGAGGCCCGTAATCTGCCAGCACCCTATGACAAAAAAATGGAACACACCAGCAGCAGTGTGAGGAGACCTGAAAGTGGCACATGGCAGAGTGTGGCGATGGAGACAGCAGCAATGGGAGGCCGTACACAGGGACCCATGAGAGACTCTGGACCTGGCAGCAGCATGAGGAGGCGGTACAGGGGCCCATGGCAGATTAGGGGCCTGGCAGCAGCAATGGGAGGCCCGTAATCTGCCAGCACCCTATGACAAAAAATGGAACACACCAGCAGTGTGAGGAGACCTGAAAGTGGCACATGGCAGAGTGTGGCGATGGAGACAGCAGCAATGGGAGGCCGTACAGGGACCCATGAGACACTGGACCTGGCAGCAGCATGAGGAGGCGGTACAGGGGCCCATGGCAGATTAGGGGCCTGGCAGCAGCAATGGGAGGCCCGTAATCTGCCAGCACCCTATGACAAAAAATGGAACACACCAGCAGTGTGAGGAGACCTGAAAGTGGCACATGGCAGAGTGTGGCGATGGAGACAGCAGCAATGGGAGGCCGTACAGGGACCCATGAGAGACACTGGACCTGGCAGCAGCATGAGGAGGCGGTACAGGGGCCCATGGCAGATTAGGGGGGCCTGGCAGCAGCAATGGGAGGCCCGTAATCTGCCAGCACCCTATGACAAAAAAATGGAACACACCAGCAGTGTGAGGAGACCTGAAAGTGGCACATGGCAGAGTGTGGCGATGGAGACCAGCAGCAGCAATGAGGAGGCGTACAGGGACCCATGAGCAGACTCTGGACCTGGCAGCAGCATGAGAGGCGGTACAGGGGCCCATGGCAGATTAGGGGCCTGGCAGCAGCAATATGGGAGGCCCGTAATCTGCCAGCACCCTATGACAAAAATGGAACACACCAGCAGTGTGTGAGGAGACCTGAAAGTGGCACATGGCAGAGTGTGGCGATGGAGACAGCAGCAATGGGAGGCCGTACAGGGACCCATGAGAGACTCTGGACTGGCAGCAGCATGAGGAGGCGGTACAGGGGCCCATGGCAGATTAGGGGCCTGGGCAGCAGCTATGGGAGGCCCGTAATCTGCCAGCACCCTATGACAAAAAATGGAACACACCAGCAGTGTGTGAGGAGACCTGAAAGTGGCACATGGCAGATGGATGGAGACAGCAGCAATGGGAGGCCGTACAGGGACCCATGAGAGACTCTGGACCTGGCAGCATGAGGAGGCGGTACAGGGGCCCATGGCAGATTAGGGGCCTGGCAGCAGCAATGGGAGGCCCGTAATCTGCCAGCACCCTATGACAAAAAATGGAACACACCAGCAGTGTGAGGAGACCTGAAAGTGGCACATGGCAGAGAGTGTGGCGATGGAGACAGCAGCAATGGGAGGCCGTACAGGGACCCATGAGACACTCTGGACCTGGCAGCAGCATGAGGAGGCGGTACAGGGGCCCATGGCAGATTAGGGGCCTGGCAGCAGCAATGGGAGGCCCGTAATCTGCCAGCACCCTATGACAAAAAATGGAACACACAGCAGTGTGAGGAGACCTGAAAGTGGCACATGGCAGAGTGTGGCGATGGAGACAGCAGCAATGGGAGGCCGTACAGGGACCCATGAGACACTGTGGACCTGGCAGCAGCATGAGGAGGCGGTACAGGGGCCCATGGCAGATTAGGGGCCTGGCAGCAGCAATGGGAGGCCCGTAATCTGCCAGCACCCTATGACAAAAAATGGAACACCAGCAGCAGTGTGAGGAGACCTGAAAGTGGCACATGGCAGAGTGTGGCGATGGAGACAGCAGCAATGGGAGGCCGTACAGGGACCCATGAGAGACTCTGGACCTGGCAGCAGCATGAGGAGGCGGTACAGGGGCCCATGGCAGATGGCAGATTAGGGGCCTGGCAGCAGCAATGGGAGGCCCGTAATCTGCCAGCACCCTATGACAAAAAATGGAACACACCAGCAGTGTGAGGAGACCTGAAAGTGGCACATGGCAGAGTGTGGCGATGGAGACAGCAGCAATGGGAGGCCGTACAGGGACCCATGAGAGACTCTGGACCTGGACCTGGCAGCAGCATGAGGAGGCGGTACAGGGGCCCATGGCAGATTACGGGCCTGGCAGCAGCAATGGGAGGCCCGTAATCTGCCAGCACCCTATGATGACAAAAAATGGAACACACCCAGCAGTGTGAGGAGACCTGAAAGTGGCACATGTTTGGGGCATGATTCATGGCGGATTTAGTCAGTTGTGTCAGGAAACTGGTGGTTTGAAATCCAGACTAATCCACGCCTGATTCATTTTCACAAACGTGAGTCTCTCCACACTTTGGGTGGACAGTCGTGTCCTCCGCGGAGTTACAATACCTCCTGCCGCACTAAAAAACACGCGCTCCGATGCCACGCTACTGGCCGGGCATGACAGCCTTTCAAGGGCAAATTCAGCTAGTTGGGGCCAAAGGTCAAGTTTCGTTGCCCAGTAGTCAAGGGGATTGTCTACCTCGGTTGGCAGGGTGCTGTCCAAGTAGGCCCAAGCCTGTTGTTTGAGGTCCTGCTCCAGGTCCACCTGATGCTGCTGCTGCTGCTGCGGCTGGTTAGTAGTTTCCTCACTGCGCTGGTGAAGAAAGCTACTCATCATCATCGACTGCAGACTGAGGCAGCCGCTGCTGGTGGAGCTGCCACTGCTCCTACCCACCCCACCCCTCCCCTGCTGCCATGGCAGCGGAACGCGAGCGCACAGGGCCCACAGTGTCTGAGGAGGATGGACGTTGGCGCACAAAGGCAGAGACCAACTGACTACATAGGTGGTTTTTATAGTACGTTATTTTGGCCTCCCTCTCAGCAGGTGTGAAAAAGGCCACCATTTTTGAACGGTAGCGAGGGTCCAACAAGGTGGACAGCCAAAAGTCATCCCTCTGTCTGATGGTTATTATTCGGCTGTCGCTACGCAAGCAACCGAGCATGCTAGGGCCATTTGTGCCAAGGAATGCGAGGGACTCCCTGCCTCCATCTCCACAGCATACTGCCACGGTGCGTCTGGGTCCTCTGTCTCCTCCTCCTCCTCCTCTACCAGATGCTCCTGCTCCTCCACTCCTGTCCGCTGAGTGGAAAAACCACCCATTTCACTCAATAATTCCTGAGCACAAATGTCCTCCTCTACCTCCTCCTCTTCTTCCTGTCCTGCCCCCACAGGGTCATGTGGCGTTGAGATCTGTGCGCGCCACGTCTACCGCACCCTGACCAGCCATTGTTAACAGCATTTGTTCCAGGACGTGCAACAGAGGAATGACGTCGTTCATCCCATAGTCCTGCCGACTCACGAATAGCGTGGCCTCCTCAAAGGGCCTGAGCAAGCGGCAGGTGTCACGCATGAGCTGCCAATGGCTGACATCGAAGTTACACAGGGGAGTACCTTTATCCGCTTGTAACATCAGGAAATCGGTG